ATATATATATATATATATATATATATATATATATATCTATATATCAGGCCCTAAACACCAGAGCAATAGAGGCTCAGCTCAGATCCACCACACAAACAAACCCATGTACAATCTGAAACTAGCTGATTGCTAACACTAGCTAAAAAACTAATGATAGCATCTAAGCTAGCAATAGCATGGTGATCTATTCATTTGGTAATTGGCATGTAATCTGGCACATGCCAATTCAGTGACTTACATGGCGTAAACATTAAAAAACCAGGCAGCAAGAAAGTTTTGACACTTTGTTCATTTACAAGTTACTGTGCTCTGTGAGAGAATCATCTGCCTTATAGCATGCTCTGCAGTATTAATATTTGGCATTGTCTACAGGCCATAAATAAATTAACCTTTGACAAAATTTGGAGCCTCTCCCAGGAACTATCTAATTGTCATATAAAATAGGTGATGTCTAGTCTTAAATTTCCTTTGGGTTGTAAGCAATTTACATTTTATGTAGAAACATTTTAGACTTAAGCCACATGGTTCTCTGAATCTATGCAGCAACAGTCTTCAAGAAATGCAGATTTCTTTGGATCATATTATTACTCCTTTCCTGGGAATGTTCCAACAACCAAACCATTTCTGCTGTACAGGCACATAGCAGGAAGGGATAGCAAAAAGCCACATTGTAAAATTTGAATACAAAAACTCATAGAGCTGTTTTCTGTTTCTAGTAAGTTTTATGATTCAATTTTGAGTGCTGGTAGGGTGCTATTGATCTCTGAATTTATCTACATATTTGTTACCTATACCCATTGATGACTTAAATTGTAAATACATCTCCCTCTGACTAAAAGATCAAAATCCTAACTTCATATGAACAGGATAAACGTGTTTCTTGTGCTTTATATTTTCCTCTGGCAACAACAGTAGCCATTTCTATCTGCACTTACTAACAGTATATCCTGTTCCCCACCGCTGCCATGACCCACTTTCCCCCTGGGGGTTCATTAAAGTTTAATCAAATCTAATATATTTATGCTTTATTCAAGGGACAAAGAGACATTTTAGTTCAAGTCATTTACATAGCTGATCACATATAGATTCAAGGGAGGGGGAAAGAACAGTTGCAACTAATGAATAATTACCTTTAATAAAAACCAAAGTATTGGGAACCATAAAGAGAGATTAGGGGTGGCATAAAGGCTGTGGATCTTATATGATTTAGTAATGAAGTTCAGCACAAGAGGTGCTTACCGAACACAGTAGGATTGCTGGAAATGTTAATAATGCACCTTTGAACTAAAGCTGTATCCCTCTGGCACAGGGCCTCTGCAGAAGGTCCTGAAGTACAAAGCAGAGGAATAAAAGAATTAGAATGAGCCATCAGGAACAGAATGAATAAGATCTCTCGCTCATCAAAATCAGGCCTTCTGCTGAGGACAAACGATGGCTGATTGGAGCGTCCTGACAAAGCCAAACATCAGATAGTGAACTGTCAACAAAAATATTCACGTCTATAGATCTGAAATCAGAATATCTCATCAGACAGCTGATTGTGAATCACTTCATGTCACCATGAGTCTTTCATTTTTATGACAGGTTTTGAGAAAGCAGTGTTTACAGTTCTTTTTTTATTCTATTTTAACTATCAGCTCTACTTATTAGTCTAACAATTAGTGTACAATGGCAAAATAAACGCAATATAAATATGTTCTTACAAAAAAAGGTTCCATAAATTATGCTGACTGTACATGAAAAATCCCAAATAAAAAGTATTAATAAAGACATGAATGCTCCAAAATGTGGTGTACGTTGGCTCTAAAAGAAGGTTTCTTGATCGGAAAGTCACACATCTTCCTTTAACTGCACCAAATCGGTGATAAAACTATAAATTAGTATTGGAATACAGCTTTAACTGATACATGTCTTTATTCACATAACAAAAAATCCTACATCCTCAATTCAGCTTACATATTTTCTCTGGTTTCTATGTTTCAAAAGAAAAAGGCTGCCAGGAAAACTTGTTATTCCAGTGGAGTCCCACCTTCACTGTGTTCTCTGTGTGGAACCTGGAGACGCCCTCAGCAGATCTCCTAACACCAGGAAGTTGTTTCCAGTTTGATGGAAGAAGTCCTCAACTTCCAAACTGTGAGCAAAGGAACATCACATTTGAAGAAATGCAAATGTTTTCATGGCACAGTAAGACAGCACAGTAGTTCCCTGTTCTGTGACAAAACTACATTTTACGAGGGCAACAGAAAAATTGGAAATAGTGGAAAGGAAAATGGTCTATGAAATTAAAAATAGAAATCTAAATAGAAATCCAAAATCCCCAACACCCAACACGCCACTCCACCCCTTCACCACAGCATGCTCCCAGCGCTAGTTTTGATTTATCGTGATTATACGATGAACTCTATTTGATGGCGTTTAATCAGCCTGTTATTGCTGAGAGAAGCGATAAAGATGCTTCTCTCAGCTCCAAGATGAAAGCCTTTCCCCAACAAGAGCAACATAAAGGTCTATTTTCTGCTGTTTAGCAATAAAATGGAGGTAGCCAAAGTCCCTGCAAGTTATTCTTTTTTTAAGAGCCATATTTGTGTTTGTGGGGCTTTCACTTCAGTGCTTTACAATCTCAGTGTGACGTGACAAAACTTTAACAAGTTCACAGGGTCTCAATAGTTTCACAGAGAAGTCTAAAATGCATGTGAAAACATTGCAACAGTCGTTACGGTTTGATCTGTGTCTGTCATTTTGACCCTTAAAAAGAGTGTTTAAATTATTAACTGCTACTGTGGAGCTTATTTCTTTTCATTAGGAAAGAAAACTTCAAAACAAAGAACACGGGACGTGTTAGCCAACCCTTTGGTCACGGAAGCTGCTTTAGCTTTATCCCCAATCAAGCTGATTCAGCCTACACTATAGGGTGTGTGGAGAAAGTGTCAATGGCTGCAAATATGTGGACCGGAAAGTGTGTCTTTAATTAAAATGTCTCAGTATGCAAATTAACTTGGACCCTTTATATGTGACAGGGGTGCTAATAAGCACCGTGCACACATAAAAAAAAAAAAGGAACAATATGAAACCACAGGGAACATGTGCCTAACTTGCTTACAATCAGCCTCATGCATTAATCAATATACTTCAGCCATAGCAGAAATGTTATAGAAACCCATCTTTCAAACAGTGCATCAGTTTCTGAGAGTGTACGAAAATAATAATAATAATAATAATAAAAAAAAAAAAAATACAACAACCCAGTTTAGCTTGTGTTAAAAGCTTTTGTATGGTAACTGAACTTGAAAAAAAATGTTGGCCAGCATTACTCCCAAGAAGTGTGAAAATCTCTCTTCACTTATGCATCACATTTATGACCACAGGGCATTATTAAAAAAAGAAAAGTATATGGGGAGAATGTCTGCTCTGTCAGCAACTGTGTCTGGCCCACACAGACTACTTACGGTAGGTTAGTGAGTAGTTGCCGTGGATCTTTGATAGCATTTTCTATGTTTATACTGGGAGAAGAGCAGAGGCTTGAACCAAGTGGAGCGCTCTATTCTGGGCACAGTGCAAGAAGCAAAAATCACTTTACTTTCCTCACCTTTACACCTTCTTTTAAAACCCCAACACTGTCATGACAAGGCTAAATTAATACCTGAATATCCTACTGTGCAGATAAAAATAACCCATAATACAGCAAGGGAGTTCAGATACAGGCAAAACTTATTATTTCTTTAATAGAATCTTGTAAAAGTATTCTCACCCCTTGGACTCCTTTCCATTTTTTCTTGATATCACCACAGACCTTAGTGGATTGGAAGATTGCAGTGAGATATTAAAAGCTTGGGATATTATTATTATTATTATGCTTTAAATTTCTCCTTTATCTCGGTCTTTGTGTTGCTATTTAGGAAATTACACAGTTGAGCAATATTTACAAATTTGGTTATTTCTGAAGGCAAATGATTGGACTGGATTTTATTATGGGTATCTCATTAAAGAAGAGGAGCAAGCAAACGCTTCCTTCCTTCCTTCCTTCCTTCCTTCCTTCCTTCCTTCCTTCCTTCCTTCCTTTATTTATTTATTTTTTCCAAATCCATTTTCATGTTAACACACATATATATATATATATATATATATATATATATATATATATATATATATAAGTTTAAGAGTTATGAATGCTGTCACAAAGTAGCGAACACTTCATCGAAATATTACCGTCCTTATTTTTCTAGGGTGTATTCATTTTTCTTCATGGTCACATTAAGCAGAAACGCTGTCTCCAATGCAAACCGTGTATTCCAAATGCACGGCATCATCTCTCCTTGCAGACCTGCTCACCTCTTGAATAGCCTCACTCTTTTATCCTCTCTCTCTCTCTCTCTCTCTCTCTCTCTCTCTCTCTCTCTCTCTCATTCGGTCAAAGGCAGATGGGTTGCACCCGTCAACAAAGCGCTGGGCTCGCATGAGTGCTGTCCGAGGTCGAAGGTGTTTAGTTGATGGTTTGTAAATTGGAAATGAGTCGGGGTTTTTTTCTCTCTCTCCCTCCCATACTGTTTTATTTATTTTATTATTATTATTAGTTTTTGGGGATGGGGGGGATTTAATGCACTGGCGTATCCCGGTGGTTGCCTGGTAACGCGCTGGCAGTGGGCGCCGTAGAGAGATCTGTGTGGTGGGCGCTCCATTAAAACCGTTGGCGCTCCTGACCTTGGCGTCGTGAATGCGCAAAGCACACAGGCTGTGCGAAGTGGCAGATAAGAGCGAAGATCCGTGTGTTTGATATCCTAAAACCGGAGGAATATTCTACACAGATCCCCCACCACCACCGCCACTTCCACCGTCACCTCCTTCTCCCCTTTCTCCAGCTCCTCGTCTTGCATCCTGACTAACGGGAATGGTATGGAGGAAAATGTTGGGATGGAGCGCGTTTCAGCTGGTGTAGAAGCAGGTGAGTTAACCTAATGATGTTGTTTTTTTTTCTCTCTCTCTCTTCCGAGAGACGAATCTGTGTCCTGATTGATAGGTGACATCTGGGCTGATTGTTCCACAAACCCATTGCTCTCTGTGATGCATTGGTTTCCTTATCACTCTCGATATTTTCCTTCCACGTTGTCCGATTTTTTTTTTCCACCGTCCTAGACCTAGATTAAACAAGCTTCCCAGTCACACCGTGAGACACCGCGCACACACACTACAGCAGTTTTGTCGATGCTACGTGGGCTGTGGCTTGGTTTTCTCTGTGGGTTTAGATCCTTGCGTTAATTTATGAAGCAGTGATTATTATGCTGAGTGCTCCCTACATGCTCCCTTTATCCAATGCATCCATCCCCACTCCTGTCTAGTCCACTGGCAAATTCAGGGGGTGGTGGTGGGGGGGGGGAGAAAAAAGATTTGGGGACACCGTTTGTTCCAAGCCAGTTGGATTACAAGGACATTGTGCAGCCTGGTCCCGTTGTTTGAAATCATCTCAGCTGCTTTCATTTCTAGCCTCCCCCTCAAAGGCATCAAAACCTCAAAAATTGATGAGATGTCCCTCAAATTTGTATTTGCACTGAACAGGTGCTGAACTGTGTGCTTGTCGTCGATGCTGTAGGTGTAGAAATGGCATTGGTAGAGTGAAACATGATTATAGCAATCCCTCTAATAGGTTTGTAACCCTGGATCGAGTCAGCTAAATTGGAGTTTAAGGGTTTAAGGATTTTCCTATATGAAACAGGGGCGCCTCCAGAAAGTTTACAAAGGGGTTGCTCGTACATTCATTTACCGACCGACCTCCACCTTTCCGGACCCCCCAGAAAAGAAAAAAACCCAAAACAAATCCAACAGACTTTCAGAAGCTTTATTATGTTGTTATTAAATGTTGGCTGTGAGGGGTCTGGTAAGTGATTAGCAGACATTCAAGTGAGCTGCTAAGTAAGTAATGAATAAATATTACATTAATGAAAGCATTAATACGTTAATAAATAAAGAGTTGTTGAAGACAATTGCTCCAGCCATCGCTCTCCTTATCCCGCTCCCTGTGGGCACCACTGTGGGAAGTAATTCCCCAAACTAACATGGCATAATTATAAACATCTGGCTGTAAAACATTAAGATCTAGTTTTTTGGCGGGCGGGGTATGCTGTTCATTCAATTCTGGGCATAATGTCTGTCTAAACCCAGTCAACTTAACCCGTGCAATGGTCGCCATAAAGCTTTTTAACCTTCTTTCCCATTATAGATGAGTAAAGTGCTTCTTTCAGCGTGTGCTGTGGTACATGTGAATAACGTCAGAATGCTTTATAATAGATGTACTGATAAAGCAAACCATTTGAACTTAACTAAAGCAATCGGTAAATTGGTACACCTTAAAAAGTATGTCCATCCATGTTCTATAACGAATGGAGGATGCAAATCTTCAGTGGTCAAAGAGGTGGGGTACACCCTGGACAGATCTAGTTCAGCTACAATCATTTAAAAATGAAAAAAGAAAATGACAAAAACAAAAAAAAAATGTCCAAGAGCCACATGGTAACTGGAGGAACTGCAGAAATTGGCAGCATCGTGCTGCGTGAATGTGCTCATTCAGCATGGACAGGGAAACTGGTCAGTGTGACACAAGAGGAACACAACAACCAGACACACACACACACACACACACGCACACACACACACACACATACAAAGCTTTAATAGAATGGCTTAGATCTATTTTGGAATGACCTAGTCAAAGTCCAGGCCCAAATTTAATTGAGAATCTGAGGCAAGACTTAAATATCACTCTTCATCTAATCAGACTGAGCTTGAGAAAGTTTGCAGAGATAAATATGCAAGCAAGTCTCTACCTCTAAACATGCAGTGTTGCTAGTTACATACCTAAAAGTAATTGCTGCTATAATTGCAGCGAAAGGAGGTTGTAGAAGATTATTGAGTCTGTGGGATCTAATGTCTTTGCATGTTTTGATTTTCAGATGTGAATTTGTAAAACATTTAATCATATTTCTTCCATTTGTGTCACTTTGTGTTGGTAGATCACGCAAAAACCCCTCAGCCGTTTACAACCAGTTTTCAAAATGTCAACAAAATTCTAACTAACATTAAATCCTTTTACACAAATAGATTTCAATATCATTCAAGAATCATTGACATGCATTATCTGTCTATTTATATTTTATAAAATAAATCCAGATACAAATATTTGCCAGTCAACCGTGAATTTAAAAAAAAAGAGTGACAGCATGTTTATAATATTCTCCACCCCGAATCACCTTACAAAATATAGCAGACATCTAAAGCCTCCGCGATCAGATCGATCTGCACCAAATAATCCAAAGATCCAGTTTCACAACTGCAGTCGTGAATTTTTAATTTTATTTAGAGAAATAAATTCTCATTTTCAAAGGAAAATCAAATCATAAAAAGTTGCATACAAAACAACAATACAAGCGGATATTAAAGTAAGGCTTCAAAATGTGTAAGACAATAAAGAATCAACATAAACCTCTGTTTGGTGCAACTTGGCAGAAAAACTGTGACCAACAAGCATGTTTTCCGTTTCTGTCATATCTGCTGTGTTCTCCATGTCAGAAAATACAAACATAAAAAAAAAAAGAAAATTTCTGGGTCATTAAACTTCAAACTTTTTTGAAATATACCTACTTTATCTTAAGTTATAGTTTTCAGATCTATTTTAACACGATGTCTTAGCCTGCTAGCATAATAGCTGGATTAGCACACTTGCTAATGTAGCTCAAACTGGACACAAGTTTACATTTTTACTCCAAAATACAAACTTTTGGAACATTTGGTGAGAGTAGTTAACTTGTACTGTGTTTTTTTCACAATAAGACCAATTTTAGCGTTTATATTAGTAAGGCTCAGCATTTTCTATTGGAAACTGGATTTGACAAACGGGAATATTGGTGGCAGACAAACCAACATCGTGTTGTAGGTTTCAATCAGACATATGGTTTGTTAACAAAACAAAGCAGTTAAAGTTGTCGGAATTTAACCTTAATTAAATATTCCATTTACAAACTAATAAGTTTCATTACAATTTAAATAACTCCACTCTAAAAAAAAAAATCCTGTTTTACAGCGTATGCCTCTGAAGTAATCCACAATAGCTTTGCACGGCGAGTTAGATGTTTATTTTGAAGTCAGATTGAAGAAAGGCGCATGCTGACTGATACTTGCACCACGTCTGTGTAATTTAAAGGGAAATCATTTTAGGAATTCATTTAAATTTTCCGGACCTCCAGTTGTTTTTAATCTCTTCGGTCGCCGCTTCCTCATAAACTTCAGGCAACTTACCATTACAACATCTTTTCCTAATAAAGCAATTTTCCACAACGACTAAAAATGAATCCTTTTGGGGCACATTACCCAAGTTACCTACAGAAGATGAGTCCCTGTCTACACAGGACGAAACCAGGTTCTCTGCTACTTCCTTGTTAGTGTCGTAGGAGCTTTACATCATTGTCATGGCAGATAGATGACAAAGGAAAGCCTTGTCCTTTTCTCTTTTTTTTTTTTTTTTATTGGCCGTAGGGAACATTCATGACTGTTAATTAATACAGACAAAGCTGGACCCGGAGCAGACGAGTCCAACTCCTCTCACATGAACCTCTGTGATTGCGAGAGAGGGAAAGTGATCTGATTTGTCTCATCGCTCACAAATTGGCAGGCAGTAATGATGTTGTTGTTAGCTGATACACAGCACCTGTGAAAGATAGACAGAGCCACCTTTTTTTTAAATGAATGTGTGTGTGTGTGTGCGTGTGTGTGTGTGTGTTTACACTCCCCATAGTGCATACAAAATGGTGCAGAGGCAGAGGAAAGCTGGGTGCATCAGAAATATGGTTAATTACTTTAGCGAGTTAGTCGGGGAAAATTGTCCCCTCTGTTGGTAGGTTCATCAGATTAAAAATTGAGCTTGTAGTAGCAGTCTTTTTGACGAAACTCATCAATAAATCTGATTAGGTTAACAAGCTTGTTTTGCTTTGTTCATTGACAGGCTGGCATAAGGCAGGACGCAGGTTTCTTTCATCACAAACCAGCTAAATGGAAGACAAGCAACGCAGCTGTTCCTTTCAAGCTTGTTTTAATGTCCAGCTTGTTAACAGTTTGGGTTTAGGGTTGTGGTGGTGATGGGGGTTCATTGTCACAAAAAAAAGCAAAAATAAAAAAAGTCAGTTGTTAAGGGCAAGCGGATATAGATGATGGGTGGATGATTTTAAAGCAAACTGTCTGTCCAGGTAGATCCCAGTGTTGGCTGCTCACCAGATTTGCTGTGTTTTCTTGCAAACTGTGGTTTTAAAACATCATTATTTGAAAAATATTGTTATAAAATTGACAAATGGTACTTCTTTAATTTACACACTAAGGTTTTCCATGTTTCTCACGACTGGAATCATCTCCAAGTTGCCAAATTTGTTTTTGATGTAAGCAAAGAAAAAGTATATATTTTTTAGCCATCTGACCAGCAGTGTGCAGGAGCAGGTGTTGAAGGACAGTGCTGGATCACTCTATGTGCCATACAGCTGCAGAAACTGACCATCTGTAGAAATGGCACAGCGAAAGTTTTAGCAGGTTTGGAAGTAACTTTCTAAAACCTTGTTATTCCCCAATACTGGTAACCAGATCATAATCTTTCTTAAAGTCTTCAATAAGTTAAAGTTTTATTACAACATTTTAATATGATGTGGATCTTTTAAACTCCCTAACTCTTCACAATCTTGGTTGTTTCTACTTGAGCATTATTCACACTTTAGATGTGGCCAAGTTTAAGCAGTTTTGATTTCTTTTAGTCATTTCTTGACTTTTATAAATCAATACATGGAAAATAAATAGCATGGTCTCTTGTCTTTCCCATTTTGAAGAGCAGTTAAGCGTCATAGTGCCCTATAAAGTTTATGTGAAGACCAACTAAAAAAGTTATGCTATATTTATTTTGTAGGAAATGTAGGAATTTGCTCTTGCATTTGCATCTAAACATTGGATTTTTTTTTCACCCAATGAATAAATGCTCTCAGATTAAAAGTTGGATTTTACAGAAAAAGCAAAAACAAATGCACAATCAGTGACATCTATTCATGTGTTTGACTTAATAATGTTATAAGGTGTTATGTTTGAAACCGGAAAATGATTAGATTCATAGATAAATAGAATTTTTTTCTCTTTAGCAATCAGTTTGTTGTTGCTGAAACGGGGACAAATCGGAGAAAAGTAAAACAGAACCACATATATTTTTTAAATCCACCACAAAGAGACCTTCAGCACAGACTGTTTCAGCTTTCTGGAAGATTTCATCGAATCTTTCAGCAAGCCTAAATTTACTCTGCTGTATGTGGAGGGTTCGGTGCCTGTGTGGTCCCATCAGACATGTTTATTCTGGGAATGTGCAACACTTCCATTATGCATCTCCATGTCAGCCTCTAACAGCTGCTTAGATCTACAGAAAGATACACGAAAGATACAAATAATCTATTTATCATGCAGAGGTTTTGAAAATTAAACAGTGAAAGCATCGGCAGGTCAGAAGCTTTTTTTTTTTTTATTCCTGGAGAGTGTGCCTTTTATATCTGAAAGAATTTTATTTCATTTGCCGTTTGTCTTGTTCCTTTTACCAAAAAATCAAAAGGAGCTTTTAACGCCTTTTATCTTGAGAAATGCTTTTCAGATTTCGGTTCGACTGATAAGATAGATCAGCGGAGATTAGTATTCTGCAGTACATATAGACGTGTTTTGTTTTTTTTTTCTTCATTTAAGGGTAAAAGTGTGTGTATATAGCTGTGGATGCTGGGAAACATTAGGTTCTCTAACGCAAACAATTCTCAATTATCTCCCCTTTTCCCCCGTATTAAACAAAGACAGAATTGCGTGCATAATGTGATTAAATTAAAATGCATTGATTTGCAACTCGGCCAAACGATGTGTTTACATTTAGAAAGAACAAGCCGAAAGCTGGAGCTGAAAAATGTAAACTTTTAACGAAATACGTGCTCGTTCCAAATTGGATTCCCACAGCAAAGCTTTGAATCACTTCTGACGAGGATTCATCTGTCGCCGCGTGGCTTCGCCTCTTCCTGTAAGAACACTCGGTTAGCTTTTGAGAAAAGCCGATGTTAATTGCTGTAAGTTGGAAAGTAAATCACACTGCTTGATACGCGGATTCTGCTGCTGATAATACATAGTACCGTGGATTATTATTTTTTTTTTTACAAAGGTTAGGCACACAAAGTTTGAATTAATTGTGGATTTTTTTTTTAAATCCACACTGGATCAAAGTTTTTCCAATGCATCCATGCCACACCAGTGAATTAGATGTTAAGCGTAGTACCACGAAACTTCACAGTAGGTGCCGCCTTCTCAGGTTTGAAAGTCTTACCTTCTCCAAACATACTTCTTTTCATTGTTTCCAAAAAAGCTCAATATCTGCCTCGTCTGGCCTCAAGAAGTCTCTCTATTAGGCACTGGAGGTGTAGTTATTTAGAGCAGAGACTTCTTTCTTCCGAGTCATAGCTATAAATTATATCAACACACACGCTACTTTAATAAAGCCAGCCAGCAACAACGCTGCAACCAGCGACTTTAACTTGAGCGTAGTATATCAGAGTACGATTTTACACCACTTAATCTGCAGTTTAAATTTGTGATGACTCGGCACCGGCTGCGGTTCAGCCTCTCCAAAGACAGCCGCTCTGCATCCGCGATGCGCCTCCTCCGGTTCACACAAACACGCTCTCCCCACCTCCGCTGTGTCATAAGCCATCCAGGTCAGCTGCCCTGATATGTTCTAAACACCCTCAATTATCCTCTCGAAATCCTTGCTTGGCTCAAACATGTCGGCGCCGTGGCACGAGACAAATCCTCCATCGTCGCGGAGTTCAAAGCTCAGAAGGAAAGTTCTTGCAAAAAGTACAACTGAAATGCAGAAGCAAAAGCTGAAAAATCTAAATGATCTCACTCGGACCAATGAGAGTCCGTCACTGCATGCTCGTGCTGTGAACTGTCCTTCTGACGTAAAGAGAAGGCTTCCCGAATAAAATCGTCCAATGTGATACATTGGTTTGGAAGCCAAACCAATGTATCACAATGATTATCGCTTGTAAAGTATGTAGCTTACTCGTCCCATGAGCAGCAGAGCACCTTGTTATAGCTGCAGGTTATTGTTTCTTGCGCCGTTGCATTGATGACATCCTGTCCTCCTCTTTAACTGAGAGGGAAACAGACCATAATTTAAAAAACAGAATCCCAGAGTTCAATTTGTCACAGGATATTTTTTCTGCCTCAGTCAAAGAGCATCTCAGACATCGGTCTTCCCTTTTTATTATGCTCACATTTGCAATAAAACACATACAATATGAATTGTAAATTGTAGACTCTCTTCTCGCTTTAGATAATTTTTCCCGCATTAGCGTATTCATTTTTGCTGGAGATTCAAACTAAGTGCTCAGTTTTCTAAGCAAAAGTTTTCACTTCAATTTCTTCACTGCACAGTAAAGATTGCAAACGATTATTAAATGCTGTATGATCTAATTATATTACTGATCTCTTCTAATTTTCAGATCTATACGCACTGCCATGAAAACACGTAGCAGGGCAGATCCATTCCTGACCGAGGCGCATCCGCATTCGATAACTATTGGATTTCAAGACGAATCGAGTGATGCCTGTTTGACTGGGTCAGTGCAGCGGGTCTAATCAGACACTAGAGTGTGCATTTGTGTTGTGTAACAGCACTGTCCTGCCCAGACCATGTGGCTGGCTACACTCAAAGGCCATCTGGCGCCTGCACACCTGCTCCATCAGCAAGGGACTGCAACCGTCGCTCACTGTGCTCTTCTTTGGTGGATGTTATGCTCCTCCTGGTCTTTGACCAAAGCCACAAGCCAGAAATTCTACCCAACTGTGACCACCCAGTTTGGGAAACTGCGGGGCCTCCGGGTGCCCGTGCCCAGCGAGGTCCTCAGACCCGTCGATCAGTACCTCGGGGTCCCCTACGCCGCTCCGCCCGTCGGCGAGAAGCGCTTCATGCCCCCCGAGCAGCCCTCGCCGTGGTCCGGGGTCAAGAATGCGACCCACTTCATGCCCGTGTGCCCGCAGAACATCCACAACACGGCGCCGGAGATTATGATGCCCATATGGTTCACCTATAACCTGGACACAGTAGCCACGTACATTCAAGATCAGAGCGAGGACTGTTTGTACCTGAACATCTACGCGCCGACGGAGGATGGTGAGTGGGTGGGGTAAAAAAAAATACCCGAGAGCCGTGACGGCCCATGTCTGCCGCTCGCTGCCACCGCTGCTGCTCGTTGTTCTGTGATCACCATGACCTCTGCGACCACTGCTCATGCCACTGCTGCCACCGAAAGGCTGGTTTATCATTCTAAGCAATGCTGCCATTTTTCTACATGATGCCATCATCTCACAAGCAGAAATGTTTGGTTTGTGAGTTAACATATCCCAGCCAGCATGCCTAGGTGGGCCCCATATGGGACCCATATGGCCTGCCCTCCTTTTCCCCACA